TTGGCCTTCAGCTCCCTTATCTCTAACATGGAGGAAGGCTAGACCAGAGAATCTTGAAGACATCCAGCAGGAGTAAAATTTTAGGACAGATGAGTTCCAGGAAAAAACAGAAAAAGGGAAAATGCAGGAAGGAAGAGACAAAATGAAGTGTAGGTCCTACAATAGGGTTTTGGGAAAAAGGCCTTACTGAGTTTTATACACCTCCCTTAGGGTTTGGTTTAAGAGGCGGGGATGGAAGTGACAGGTTGGCATTCTCCTCCCCAGCAGGGGCTGGTAACCAGCAGCAACAGTAAGAGCTTGAAGGGTGCCCACAAGTGGAGGGCTCTGTCACTTGTGGGCTCCGATGATGACCTATGTTTCATCTTTCCTCTTCTCATTCTTTCATAGAATATATATGCTTACCCTTGATTTTTCTTATCATTCGGTTTAAAATGACCTCCCCACATACATTTTTGGGGTCATAGTTTCTATCAAAAATTATAAAAATGGGCATAAAATGCAGGATTTCGTTTTTTCAAAGAACAAGCCAGCCAAAATAGCATATCAAAGTATTTTTTGAATGTGTGGAAGTCTAGTGCCCATTTAGAACTGGAAAAAAAAAACTGATGACATATAAATATACATTTCTGTTCACCCACCTCTCAAAAGTAAAAGTCTTTAAAAATGATTTTGGTAACCACATTATATTACAGCCAAAACAAGTAAGCACTAAGAATTTACCCCAGAAAAAAATGTGGTACTGAACCAGGGAGATATTTTTAAATCTTTGTTTTGGCTTTATGCATATTCATTCATTCAGCAAGATATTTAAGCAGCAGCCCTGGAGCCGGACTGAGAGGTGCCGCCATGCATACAAGGGAGGAGAATTCAGGATGGAGGCATGGCGGAGCGGGATCCGGCCTGGCTGTGGAGAAGGAAGAGAAGTCTGAGAAACCATGGCCGCACTCACAGGAAGATCAGCAGAGTGCTGTCAGGGAAACCAGGGAAGAGGGTAAAGGAAGGAAGAAGGGGCCAACTGAGGCAGATGGCTGCAAAAGAGGCAAGGAGTGGGACCTTGGCAAGAGGGGCAGAGTGGGGGCAGAGTGGGGACAGAGGTGCGGGCAGGTGAGATGAGATGGAGTGAGGAGGCAGGGAGCGGTGCAGACCTCACTTGTTCTTAGGACATGCCAGAAAGAAAGAGAACAGGCTTTGGGGCTGATCTTCCTGGTTCCCAACCCACTCCTGTTATTCATTAGCTGTGTCAGTTTCTATTTCCTTCCCCAACACTGAGAACAACAACAGTCCCTAACTCATAAGGAGTGGGTTAACCAAAAATCTTGCTTATGATTCTTGACTTAGCTATCTACAACAAATGAGAAACAAAAGATACTCATGATCATGAAATTTTAAAGTAATTTATTTAGATTTTGTAAGATCTCTTAAGAAATTCATGGAAAAGTTATGATTATCTAGTCTTTCTTTTTAATGACCCAGGAATATTTTACTCACTTCCTCTTTTTTACTTCTCTACTATAAATCTCTTTGTAGAACTCACAAGCAGCAAACTTTTTAGCCTTTTCTATGCTTAATAGCATAATTTTATATATATTTCCTTAGCTGATTTATCATCTCATTATCGCTAACAGCTTTACTTAGTGCATTAATGATATAGAAGGCATGCTTATCTTGTAAAAAGAACTAACTCATGTTGGCTGCCCCTGCGACTCCTGATTTATTATTCTACAGAATTATAAACTTCTTAATATGTTTAAGTCTTGATGAGAACCAAAGTCAAGATCAGCAGTCTGTAGTTTGTAGAACTTTCCTTTCCTAATATATTTGCCCATTTTTTAATTTTGAAGCACCTCTTCTCTTCACTACAATTCTTATTTTTTGTAAAGTACACATGATTTTAAATTAATTAAGCATCTTTCTAAACCTGTAAAGAAACAAACTCCAGAAAATCAAAGTTGCCTTAATTCAGAGGGGAAAATGAGAACCACTGGAAAACAGCCAGAGTATGTACTGTGGTGTAGTCATTAGTATTTCGAATTCTAAGTCACTTTTAACTGAGAAAGGCCCAATAAAATGGCGAATCAGGACTTGAGAAATTAAGATTTGAAATGTGTAAGAGCATAGCTATCTCTCATTAGATTAGCTTGAAAAAAAATTCATCTCAAAGCAGCACAAACAGTCATGAGAATTTTGAATGACTGCGAAACTGTTTCCTTGGGTCGCGGTTTCGGCACACTCACAGACAAAAACAGGCTGTTTGTATCTCTGGGGCCCAACGCGTTTAAGTTATTTTCCAGCGAGACTGACGAATTCATGCTTCAATCTTAAGTAAATATATAGCTTACAGACTTAGGAGAAGGAGAAACATCCAAGGGATGAGTAAGTCAATAGTGGCACCAAAAAAAAAAAAAAAAAAAAGGCAAAGGAAGAGCAAAGGCACATTAAAGATCAGCAGAGGATCAGAGACATTCGTGGGCAGACACACACTCCAGCATTCTCCTCATTCGCCAAAGTGATGCCATTAATGTATTACCAGTGGGTCAGGTATCTGAGTTCTTTCTCCCAGGGCAAAAAAACAGGAAAAAAGCATCAATTGTGAATAAGTGTTCAGAAACATGACCAATACTGAATTCCCAGACCTTTTAAGAAACAAGATAAAAATGTATTTGCTGGGGCACCTGGGTGGCTCAGTGGGTTAGGCGTCTGCCTTCAGCTCAGGTCATGATCTGGGACTGAGCCACGCATTGGGCTCCCTGCTCAGCAGGGAGTCTGCTTCTCCCTCTGCTCCTACCAGGCTCGTGCTCTCTCTCTCTATCAAATAATTAAATAAAATCTTTAAAAAAAATGTATTTGCTGACTTACAGATAATGAAGCAGTAAAAAAAAAAATTCAAATTTCTCACTTTTAGTTACATATGTAAACACTTGGGTATAGATATAGAAAGGTGGAAAACTCCTAATTCTTTGAAAAAAATCACTGAATTACTGGGAAAAAATTTCAAACTATTGTCTCTCCAAATTGAATTTAAGAGTTCAAAAGCAATCTGCTAGTTTAGCCATAAAACAAATGCAAAGCCTTCTACACAGTGGGGCAGACCATGAGTGCTGCTGGTACAATAATCTTCCTAATACTGGGCCTACTCAGTAAGTATGAAGGCTTATGGAGAGGAGTTCACAAGATCTGACCCTACAGGTTTATTAAATATGCAGTGAATATTCTGCATGCATGCTGGGCATTAAATAAAAAATGAAAAATTCAAACGATGACGATATGTTAAATACTGCAAATAATATGGAATGAGATCTATTTATAACTAAGATATTCTTTAGTCATTTTTGACAAATACAGAAATAGAAGAAATATGTTAAGGTAAAACTTGAGTTCGTTTACCAAATATCTAAATATTTATAAAGTCTTATCTTTTTACTTTTAGTTCATATTCATTTATGACGTAAACCTTGCTAAGCTTATAACCTCAGAACGGCTTTGATTTTGCTAGTATTACAATGCCATCCACCTATAGTTGCAGCACAACTATTAAACTGTACTAATAAAATGCCAAGCACCTAGAATGGAAAGAAGAGAAAAAGTTGGAAAAAATATAAACACCTAATTTTTAGTTTTAAGCCAAAGATGTAGCACATACAGGGGTCAGGGAAGAGTAATCATCCATACTGTGGGCTCTGAAGTTTCCACCAACTGTTCTCCTCAACTTCTGACTTCCAAAGTAATTGATGGCACCTACACTGTACTTCTATACCTGTACATGAAAATGAAGTCAGACTCCCTAATAAGTGCCTCTTATCAATTTCCTAACATGGTTTAAGAATTACTAGCAAATATGTCCAAAAGGCAAGTCATTCCAATAAAACACAACAGGTCCGGAAGACGGTAATTCTAAGGTATCTGGGATTGCTCCCACTGCGTGCTCCTTCTCCATGTGACAGACCATCTCTTCCTCTGGCTCCTTCTCAGCTCCCCTGCCTTCTTCATCCTGCATACCCCAATGATCACCAGGTGCCCGAAGACTCATTTCCTAAGGATTTCTTTCCTCTTCCACTGTACTAGCCCAGGTCCGCACTTCCTCCCACCTGATCCATTCAACTGCCCTTCATTGGTCTCTGGCAAATCCATCCTCCACAAAGTGACCAAAATCATCTAAATTGTAAATCTAACCACTACTTGGCTTAAAATCTTTTAGCAGCTTCGCATTTTCTATAGATAAAATTCAAATCTTTAACCTCCTCAACCTCCAATCTTGCCACACAGGCAGAATTTAACTAGTTTTGTTCCCTCTGAATTTTTTTCACGGTTGTCCTCTGACCTGAAAATAGTTCTCGTTTCTCTTGTCCTCCTCGCTTGCCTAAATATAATCCATCTCTCAAGGGATCAAGCTCCTGGAATGCCTTCCCACTCTGCCCCGCCCACTCCCTCAATCCTCCACACATTTCTAGCAGGGAGACAACCAACCACATTACGGGACAACTGATCTCTTTATAGGCCTACCAACTGATTGTGAGCAACTTAAGGGCGGGAACTGGGATTTAATTTAGTTGTAGTCACTACAACTAATGTAGTCACATTGAACGTGGGGGTTCAATAAATATTTGAAGCAGGGATAAGGAATAAATGGATTAATGAAAGTGGAGTGGCAAACCAAAACAGCGCTCTGGTAACAGTCAGGGTGGTATTGCAGTGCCCTCCCCCGACTGGGAGCCATTGCGTAAATCCTGTTCCACAGCTAATCCAAACTTAAACATCGGTTACTACTAAATGAAACTCTTGGTTTCCTGTACTATTTCTTATATTCCTGACAACAAATAAAGAAGGTAAAGAAAATACTACCATAGTCTAATCTTAATCACAATAGAGGGGAAATCTAAAACCCTGGAAGACTTCTAGAATCTCTGCATTTGATAATAAAAACAAGTCCTATCTGTTGAGGCTTCCAATCCACTTAGGGGAGCTGATGAAACCTACCCAATAAGCTACATCAGACTACACACCTTGAGTCCAAAGGCGGTATCCTCCGAGGTCAAGACTTCAACCTGAAATCATAAGGAAAAAATAATTTAGGCACTCTCAAAAACGTTCTTTGAGTCTAGCCACAGACACAGGCATGGCCTGGAACTACGAGTTTGGAGAAAATTGGTATTCAATTTACGTCAGACATCAAGAAAGAGAGATCTGGGATTCTCTTCAAGAGTTGATTGGGGATAAACACAGGTCACTGCCCTGGATTCCAGATTTAAAACAGGGCGAGCCCCTATTAAATGCATGTATTTGCCATCATGTCGAAGTGGTGGTGTAAGTTCCTCAAAATGATCTAGAAGTCAGAAGAATCAATCCTTCTCAGTTAAATCACAAGATGTTGCATACTTTTTGATCTTTTACTGACAGACAGTGAGGGGAAAGTATGCTTCGTAAAGCAATTTCATCATGCTTATGAAGCTGCTAGTAATTTCTTGTCCTGCTCCCATCAGAGTGGGTAGTCCTGAGTCTCTGGAATGTTGCAGAGCAAGAGTGCCTGAAAGCAATACTCAGGAAAAGACAGGCAGAGTCTAAGCAACAAGTTGTGAAATGATGGCAAAACTTCAAAATTGCCTGTCAGTCTTGTGCATGAGAAGACAGAGCTCATTAACATGAATTTAAAAAGCTGCATGGAACAAGACGTGTATTGATAATTACTGTTTTTTAAACATAATTGTTCAGTCTGGTGTGTAAAGCTTTTAACTTTGACTACTACAAAGTACCAATATATGATGGAAAAGAGCAAGGAAAGAAGGCACAGAATATGAATATTTTTAAGTGTCTGCAGAAGACGGGGGTAGAGCAGTAATATCAGACTTGCTGGCTACACTGTGAGTTTTCAGCCTTTTAAAACTAGGCCTTTGTGGTAGGTGTTTAAGTAGAAGGCACACAGGCCTGTCCAATGTATCTTGCTATAAAACAAAATTGGATTCTTCCCTTGAGGGAAGGAAATACAGAAAGGAAGATCATTTCAGTAAGATTGTCATCCAGTACAAAAGTAAAGGGGTCAAAAAAGAAATGAGGAAGGAATTGTATTCTCCAACTGCTTGGCTGACAGTGAGGCTCCCCCACCACCTGGTACCTGACAGAGACTGGGGCATAAAGCAAGAGAAACACATGATTAGGTACTGGGAGGATGACCAGCCTCATTTTGACGAAAACCATATGTTGCTGATACCAAATGTGAAATGTTGGATCAACTGTAGTGCAAAATCATTATAAGACTCACTGACAGCATGTCTGTTTACACTTTGATTTCCAAAGCTAATTGTTAGATTTAGAAGCAAGATCTTATTATAGACTTTGTTTGGGGGGCGGGGGTGCGCAGCAACAGTTATTGGCAATTTACATATTTTTGAATTTCCTAAATCCTGTCTTTCACAACACTAGATTACTAATCTCAAATATTTTTACATCAAAACCTCTAATCAACATTGAAGACTTTAGTTAAAGGCAAAGGACAAACAACAAATTCGCTGAATCTTCAATTATATACATAGATCATATCTGTATATACTAATGTTAGGTACATTCACCCTTTTGATGTGATATTTTAATACGCATACAACTATTTTTAAAATATATTAGAAGTTTAAATCTGCAAAAACCATCCCCAAGTGAGTTCTGCGTTTAACATATTATAAAAAGTCAAAGTAGCAAGAAAATTCAATAGCATATAGAAATCTATTTAAAGATTTGGCTTCGATATATTTGAAAACTTGAGATAATAACAAAACCAAAGCTTTCAAGTGGAATTTAGGAACTGTCCGGGCAGCTCTGTCAGGAGACAGAGACAAAACAGGCCTTGGAGACTGGAGGAAGGCAGTGGATTTCAAAAGGTCAGCCTCATCCTCCAACCCACATTCTATCTCCAGGAAGGCTGAAGAGGTTTGCAATTCCTAAGTACTAACCAATTTCATCAGACTACCTTAAAAAGTGTATTTTGTTTTATTGAAAAGCACTATGGTTTACACATATATGCACTCTTGTTCTACTGAACTGTATTTTATATTTTCCGTTTCTGAAAGATTTTGTATTTCAATACCAACACAAAAACAGCTGGTTTTTAAAAACACGAAATCAACTTCAATTTACTAAAAAACAAAGAGCAATGTCATACAAAGGTTTTCATGTTGGATCTAAGAGCATTTTTACCTAAGTTGGAAGGAATCCCCCTCTAGTGGGAGTAAGGGAGTATTTCAACCTTCACATAAAATTTTCAGGTAGCAGTCATTAACCTTAACAATCAGCAGAGATCAGCTGAGCTTTTTTCCTTTCGTCATCAATTTAAATCTTTTAAAAAAGAAAGTCAGTATTTCATATTTCATAAGCCTAAAACACCTGTAATTCTTTTATAAATATATATATTGTAGATTTGTGTTTATTGGATGGGATTTTAGCTACTAACCAACCATTATCATCAAATTTAATTTGGCTATAAAATAGTCACAATTTGAAGTTAAAACAGAAATGTACAACTGGAAAAAATTAGTACATCTCAGTGGAAAGACTTAATAATACACTGGGAAGAGAGAATGTTGACGGTTTACATTGACCTGACTCATTAACAAAGACTTTCTGGATATTTACCACATACAAGGCATTGTGCTTAACGCTACTGTAAGAGATAAAAAGTGCCTAATTTTACTCAGGTAAAAAAAACCCTGAATGAAATGTATTTAAACGTTCATTTAAAAAATAAATTCATATTCGAAAATGACCAGATGAGATTATTCACGGTGCCATTTTTCTTTTTAAACTTCAGTTTGGGGAGATTTAAAACTGGCCGTATTATAAAAACCACCCGGAAAAAATGGTCACAGGTTTTATGCAATGTAAACTTAGGACACGATACCCAATGTTCTCTCCACACAGAGGCTGTAACAAATGCAAAGACAGAGCACCCTGATGAAAAGCACCACCTGCATCACAGGGAGAGAACCTGTCAGGGGTCCTGAGCTGCAAGGTGTGAAGGGGTGTGGGCAGGCTAGCAACGCAGGGGCTTCCTAAGACCCTTTCCATTCGATCCTGTTATTTCAAATGATGCTACCGTCAACACTTTATAATACCAGTGCCTAAAAGGATTCCGTCTGTAGAGGACTTTGAAAATCACCCAGGAAGTTCAGCAGCAGCCAGACCACTGACAGTCCTCATACTCTGCTTGGCACAAAACCTTCCAGTGGCTTCTGTCTCTCCCATGTAGCCTACTAAGCCCGACCTCTACCAAAATCAAAGCAAACCACTTTAATCTCCAATCATTCCATCAAGAAAATCAGGAAAATGTGAATTCACGAATTTGGAAGTGAAATTGGTTGGACTTTTCTTTCTTGAATCACTTCTGAAGTCCTTTCTACTTTCACCTATAAAGCACAGAATACTAATATCCAGCAGTGCTTCCATTAAAATAAAACTATGCCAAAAGTATGTCCTATTTTAACGAAAAACATTTTTTCCTAGTCAGGATCACACCGTCACAAAAAAGTAAAGTGACAGTGATGATATATAATCATATATGAAGAATCTTATTCATAATTAAAGGAATGCAAATCCAAACTCTTAACATTATCCTATTTTCTCACTACAGATTACCAAGATTAAAAATGTTGATAATTATAATATTGGTAAGGGTATGGGAGACCACTACATAGCCTTGCACTCATTATGAGAACATATGTTAGAATAATGTGCAATTTAGCAGTATCCATCAAAATGTATATGCACATGATTAAGTGTTAAGCTAATAATTCTACTGATATCCAAGTGCAAAAAATATTTACTAAATTGTTTACCAGAGTTGTTTATAACAGTAAAAAGCTGAAAATATCCTCCAACCAAATGACCATCAAAAAGGGAGTGTTTAGGGCGCCTGGGTGGCTCAGTTGGTTAAGCGACTGCCTTCGGCTCAGGTCATGATCCTGGAGTCCCGGGATCGAGTCCCGCATCGGGCTCCCTGCTCAGCAGGGAATCTGCTTCTCCCCCTGACCCTCCCCACTCTCATGCTCTCTCTATCTCATTCTCTCTCTCAAATAAATAAATAAAATCTTTAAAAAAAAAAAAAAGGGAGTGTTTAATAAATTATCATACAGCCAAGCAATAGAATACTATATTACTGTTAAAAAGGAGGTAAATCTATGTGTGCACATAAGATTTCTATGATATTACATTAAGTGGGAAAAATCAGAACAGTGTGCACAGTAAGCTAACATCTGTATTTCTTTAAAAAGTGGGGGTGGGTTATATGCTTGATATACTTGGACCATTTCTGGAAAGATATGTAAGAGACACATCAGTGATTACCTGAAGGCAGAGAACTTAATATTCATTGTATTTTGTCTTACAATGTTTAGAATTTTTTTCACCATGTGCATGTGTTTCTTGTTCATTAAAAGTAGTTAACAAAATAAGCCAATAACATAAAAAATGTCTAATGTAAAAAATAATCACAGAAATGTAAGTAAATGTCATAATCGATTTCTAGAGAAATCTATCTTTATGATCTAGTTGGTGATCAACTGTTTATAAATTATAAAGTATGTGTGCTATGCCATTACTTGAAAAATAATGACAAATTAGAAAAAAATGTACAAAAATAGTTTTAAAAAAGTATGGTATTTCCTATATAGACCATTCCATATTCATAAAAAACTCACTGTTCAGGAAGTCTTCTGTATCATAAGAAAATGCTTATAAACTTGTTAGATTTTAAAAGTAGGACTAAAAACAGGAGTTTGGCATTACAAATATTTCTATCTATCCATTTGCTTCCTGCATGCCTTCTAGCTTATGTGCCATGCGCAAAAATGTCTTCCCCACTCCAGGAGTTTTTACATATTCATTCATGTTTCCTTTTAATATGTTTGACTTCCATGTTTCACATTTAAATACATGACCCATCTATACCTTACTTTGAAATAACAAGGGAAGAGGTGAGTCAGCTTTAATTTCTCATTTGGGTAACTATGGGGCAGAATGACCCACTACCTTTTCTTCCGTGATCAGAGAAGCCACATCTTTATCA